ATCTGATCTGAATGGAAGGTTAACCAACATCAAAGATAGGATAGTGGCTTAGTGTGGAAAACAGCCATGGACCTGACATCAAACACAACTATTCATAAGTGGCAGAATGTCAACTCATCCCAATCCTTCAATCATATCCCCAATGACCTATATATATATAGTTAACCACACTACATACTATATGTCAGAAAAGTGGACACAATTAACTTTTGTAATGAAAAAAGCGGACACACTACAAACCATTGTAGTCTGAAAAGGCAGATACAATTAACTTTTGTAATGAAAAAAGCGGACACTACAAACCATTGTAGTCTCAAAAAGTGGACACTATTAACTTTTATAATGAACAAAGCGGACTCTACAAACCATTGTAGTCTGAAAAAGCAGACACTACTAACTTTTGTAGTCTCAAAAAGCGGACACTACAAACCATTGTAGTCTGAAAAAACAGACACTACTAATTTTTGTAGTCTCAAAAAGCGGCAGACACTACTAATTTTTGTAGTCTTTGTCTGACCTTTGTGGTCTATGTCCAACTTTTGTAGTCTTTTTTGTAGTCTATTAGTAAACTTTGTAGGCTATAAATTACTTTTGTAGTCTGTCAGTGTCAATTACCCTTTTAGGGCATGTACCTTCCTTTTTGGGAGAAATTTCCCACGATACAATAGTTGTAGCCCCTTCTCTTAGCTTTTTAAATCTGTTGAAATCATGTTGTTTAGTGTTCTTTTCATGAAGAAAAATGCAAAAAACAAAAAAAAACACAGCGCTTTTGAAAACCTTTTACCTTATATCTCCACAATGGAAGCACTTTAGGACATAATTCCAACTGATTCTGGAAGCTATGGTAAAGAGCTACAACTTTTGTTTTTTTACCATTTTTGGAAATTTGTCATGTGACCACCCTCCCAATGACCCATTGGATGGACTGTAATAGCTATTTCATTGCTATCATGGAATATAATGAAAAATCATAATGATATCCCTGGGGGCAGATATGAAATT